GCGGGGAGCACGGGCCAGGAACCGGTGGGTGATGCCGAATGGCTGAGGCATCGAACAAGAGTCGAACAAGCTAAGGAGTAGGGCGAGAACTAAGGGCCCGTTTTAAGTAAACTCAAACTTCAATGCCTGGAATTACTTCCCCAGCCGAGCGAGCGCAGCGCAGGGGAGATCCGGCCCCGACATTAGGTGCCCACCGCCGCGGACCGGGCTGTGCGGAACCGAACCCCAGAGGGGGAGTCGGAGAGCGGTGCTGCTGTCCGCGGCTATGCGCTGTCGGACCCCGACGGGGCGGACGCGGCCCTTTCCCTCTGGAGAAGGACCACCCCCCCTCGGCCCGGGCTCCAGCAACTCTGAGCCGCTTCGGGGCCGTGATAGAGAGCTACTGCCCGGGCTCTTTGTGCAGAAGCGGCCGTGTGACTCCAGGGGCATTTGACTTCCTGTGCTCGGGCTCCTTGAAATTCTCATTTGCTAGCTCACACCCTGCTCCCTTCACACCAGAGCTGTTTTATTGTTTTATAGCTCTCTTCAAACTTCCAGTCCTCAGAGATCTCACTGTGGCAGCCTTCACACTTCCCTCTCTCCCAAAGCCCGGTGTCCGCTGCTCCCAGCAGTTTGGTCGCTTGCAAAAGCCCCTCGGTGCCTGGCTAGCCCGCAGCCGCGGCACAGTTCTAGCAGGATGAGTCAAAACCACTTTCCAGAGCCGTCTGACTGAAATGCCACAAACACCCGGGGAGGGACGGACCCCCGCCCCGAGCTAACCCCGCGTTTTGTCCCGACGCGCTGCTCTGTGCCTCCAGAGATGGCACTCAGAGAGGGGCACCGCCCCTAGCCCAAGGGACAGGGAACACACCCACAGCCCTATGGGATGCTCCCCGCAAAGCCGCCGCGGAGCTGACCGGCCGCCCGCCCCCACACCCTCTTACAGAGCAGCCAGAGGACCTTTATTTAGCGAATAAAAGTTTAAAGCTGAAGGTTATTTATGGTTCCGCAGAGATAGGTCCTGAGTGGCTATTTAGGAGCACGTGATTCCAATAAACTTTGTTTTATGGCTTGAGAGTTGACAAGCCAAAATATAATTCCCACCATAAATTAGTTTAAGAGCATACAAGTGCAGATGCTTTCGTTCCTGGAAGCAGTAATCGGGGAAGTGTTAGCAGGGATTCGTCTGCGGGAATGCGGCCGTGCGGGCAGCCCCGCTCCCCGGTGCCCCTGCTCCCCCCGGCCCCGCGCCGGGCGCGCAGTAAGTCGGCGTCAGCCTCCGGGCTGCGGTGCCTCCGCGCCTCCGGGCACTGCGGGCGGGGAGATGGGCCTCAGGCTCTGCCTGCGGGAACGGGCAGGTAGAGCTGGGCCGGGCGGGGCTGGGGGCTCGCTGCGCCCCGGTCGAGGCTGGCGAACGTGGTGAAGATCTTCATTGAAACTGGCCTGGAAAAAAAAAAAAAAATAAGAGAGAGAGAGAGAGAGAGAGAGAGAGAAAGGCACAGTGTTGTAATGTTTGGAGTAGAAGGGCTGATGCTCTTGCACTGGCCTTGCAGTGCTATCCAGAGGGCTCAGATATAAAGAAATATATATGTATATATATATATTATAAGAACAATATTGGAAAGTGAGCTATCGATACCTGGGCTATTGCTTTGCTGTTGTACAACAGCATCCCAAAATACACCATAAAAGTGCAATATGGAAATGAAAATTGGCTTATAGCAAAATAAGAAAACAAAACAAATATTGGCATTTTGCTGCTAAATATACAGTGCTTTTCGGGAGCATGAGATCGAATGGGTGTTTTTGTCTTCCTTAATGTTATATTTGAAAGCAGTTCTTAAAATATTTGAATGAAAGTTCGGGTCAGATGCATCCTCCTGTAACGCAAACAAAGACGCGTGGCTCGAGTTTACTGTTGGATAATTGTATGATCTTACAGAGAAACGGGCTTAGAGCGGTCCGAGATTTGTTCCTATAGAATTGTCGTTCTGCCACTCTTAGCATGGATGCGGCGCTGCTCTGCACATTGTGACATTTTCTGGGCGATGTTTTAGCAAAGATGATCTGAATATTTCATTTGTAAGTGACTGAATCGCCACAAAACGACGGAAAAAAAAAAAAAAGAAAGAAAGAAAGAAAGAAAGAAAGAAAGAAAGAAAGAGGCCTTTGTTATTCTTTTTTTTCCCCCACCAGTGAAAGATGAAGTCTGACTTTCCACCCCTTTACTAATTATCTGCTATAAAATCTGGGCTATGGCTCGAAAAGGTGAAGCTCACACGCAGCTCGGGAGGGCACGTGTCCGAGGGATGCCCGGGTTCCATACGGTCCCCGCTCAGAAGGGGCTCCCACCCCACCCGCCCCAGCACCGCGCTGCTCGCGGGATGCTGCCGGCTCCTCTGCCTCCATCCATCACCCGCGTTCTGTAACAGACCTCCAGAAATACAACCCGCGTGTGGAATACGGCAGTAACAAACGTTTGTATTGCAACAGGTCCGGCACCATGGAAGGGCACTCGCGGTAAGTGACCTCTTATTTCTCGCAGAATTGGAGTGCTTTGAAAACACCGTTTCTCCCTCTCAGAGCAATTAGAAGCTCCGTATCTCTGCCTCATGTCGCTGCCACCAACCAACCAAAGCTGTGTCAGTGCGTTAAGGCTTTGGGGACCGTTGCGCGGTGCCACGTCTCGGGCAGCCCTGGCTGAGGCAGAGGGGTTTATTACAGGGCTCGCAGGTGCCTGGCTGCCGCCGGGCGGCTCGGGGCACTGCCCTCTGCTCTGGGAGGCTCGGGCCGGAGCCGTGACGCCGCCTCGTTTGGAGCAGCCCGGGCAGGAGGAGCGGTGGCGGTGCCCGGGCCGGGCAGGCAACGCTGTGCCGTAGGGCCGGGCGGCAGCGCTGGGGGCGGGGGGGAGAAGGGGGGAGGTGGGCACGGTGCGGAGGGGGCGGCTTTCTCCAGCTGTGTGCTGGTCCGCGCCGGTCGCGCGTGAAGGAGAGGAAGAGAGCAGCGCGGTGTGCTGCAGGACACGCAGCGAGCTGCCGTTCGGGCTGGCTCTGCCTTGTCCCTCAGACGGAAGGGGAAGGCTGCGGTGTGTGAAGGTTCTTTACGTGCGCCTCGCCCTCCCCGCTCCGCAGGCTGTGCTCCGATGGGGGAGCGCACGGGAGCGAAGCTCTGTTTGTTTGGATTTCTTCCCGTTTCGTCCCCTGCTCACTAAGCTCTTTCACTACTTCTCGCCGGGTTCTCGTTCTCGTTTTACCCTGTGTGTCGATATGAGTTTCGAGCCCTTTAAGTGCGAGATAAACAATTGCCCCGAGCGCTGCGTTTTTGGTTTAGTCCCATAGGTAATTCCCTGCTCGCACAGCCCCGCGTCACGGAGGTGCCCTTGGCGTTTTGTTTTAGGGCCGGCCCTCAATGTACAGATTACTCGTTTTCTGCTAACGTACATTTAGCACGACGATTATGAACCAGAATACAAAAAGGCAGATAGATCAAAAGCCCTCTGTATGGGCAGTTGAACAGGAGGTGAATATATAACGCTTTTGTTCATCAATAAATCTTTGGCTTTGACCTGTCTGAGCAAGTCGTGCAATAAGGTGAAACGCAGGTCACAGCGTCTAACAAATATGAAAATGCGTAGGATGAGGCAGAGAGGGGGCTGCAGCTCCCCGGCCCCTCCGCGTCCCCCCCAGCGGCTGTTCCGTTCCCGGGGCTGCCCCATGGACGAGCTGGGGCGGGGGGGGTTATGCTCCCTGCCCCTTTGGTCGGTGGTTAATAGAACCCCGGGGGGAACTCCTCCCCTCGGCGAGAGGAGGAGAAACCAGGAAGAGGCTCTGAAATAGTTGGGAGGAGGCTTAAATAAGCCGAGGGGGGGGGGGGGAGAGAGAGAAGGGGGGGAAGAAAAAAAGAAAAAAGAAAAAAGAAAAAAGAAAAAAGAAAAAAGAAAAAAGAAAAAAGAAAAAAGAAAAAAAAAAAAAAGAAAGAAAGGAAGGAAGAAAGAAAGGGTAGAGACAGGGTAGAGAATGGGGACGCAGGGTGGTTTCGAGGTGCACTTGCTGTGAGGATGGTGCCACCGCAGCCATAGCAAAGCAGCTGTTCCCAAACGGCATCCCCAGCTCAGGCAGCTGCGAGATGGAGCCCGGCGAGCAAAGCGGTGCTCATCGCTCGGGTGAACGCAGCAGCCCCAAATCCGCCCTCCGCAGCGCCTGGATGTGTCGCACCCCACCATTATCTGCCCTTATGTCGCCTGTTTCACATAGTGGAAGGAGAAGAGGTTGACCGAGGGACAGCAGCGAGGAGCTGGGTCAGGCACAATTCGTGAACTTTTGTACTCTAGTGTGCTGCTGTCGGCAAAGTAAAAATAATGAAAGTTGGTGATGTGTTTGCAAATGATTTGGGATGACCTCTCGCCCTGCCCTTCACCATAAACGCTACGCGGGAGAACCTGGGAGGGTGCGCGCTGCGGCTCTCGCGGGATGATGTTGCGCATAGAGCAGCAGAATGGCACCAAGGTAAACGTGGCAGCCCCCCGCTCCCCGGACCCGCTCACCCCAGCTCTACCCTCGCCTTTTTCACCCATCGCTGTCTCTGCTGTCGCCTATTTCACTTCTGTTTCGATTTATTTTCTCTTTTTTTTTTGTTTTCTTTTTTCTTTTTTTTTCCCTCAAGTGGGAAAATTCTAACTAGATAAAATGCCTTCAGATTCGTACACAAATAGGTGTACGCTTTATTTCCTGTAAGGTTTTAACTAGTAACATTCTGAATAGAGATTTTTTACTGGGAATGTCCGTTTTCTGTAGCAAGGTCGAAAACAGCGAGCACTAAAGCCGTCAGCAGGTCTTGTGAGGATGTGTTAGCTGAAATTCGTCACCATCAGTTGGTGCAGAGTCGTAAAGCTTCATTTCGTCAATAATAACAGCCGTGAATCCTTCCCGTATTCCCACCTTCCTGCAAAGCCGTGTTTGTGAGCTCGGTCCCCACCGAGTAGTTGGCATTCCTCAGAAGACAGTAAGGAGTAAGGATTGCAGGGAGCTGCTGTAGGGTAGGTGAAAACAGAACGTTATTACGTTGTCTATATATACCCTGTAGAACCGAATTTGTGTGATATTCATATAGTCACAGATTCGATTCTAGGGGAATATATGGTCGATGCAAAAACTTCACCTTTCTGCAGACGGCCAGGGGTTTGGGCACAGATGGAACCAAAAGACGTGTGCGTGTTGAACACGGAGAAATCCCCAAAGTTTTGCCGCCTTTCTCCCATTTAAGCAGATTTTAGAACGTCTCTGAGAATTCCCCTGGTCGTTCAGCCCTACCTCCCGCTGGCAGACTGTGGATTTAAACGAGTAATCTCAGGAGATCTAAAAAATATTGCCGGGGAAAAAAAAAAAAAAAAAAAAGAAAAGAAAAAAAAAAAGGAAAGAAAAAGAGAAAAAAAGAAGTCTGCCAATCAGTGAGCGAATCTTTAACAAAAGCCCCATAAATTAGCCCGATGTGCTGGGCGCTGCCAGAATTTCCCTGTCGTGTGTCCAAATCTCACCCAAATATTTACGACAGCGGTGAAAGCAGCGCTCGACTCACTGGGACGTATTTCCTTGCGCTCCAGGAAGGATGTTGATGAGCGAGGATTGAATTTCTCTCTTTAAACCCGTGATGTTTGTAACCCAATTAGAAGCCGTCTCAGTGCAATTGGCTGAACTTTGGTGGCCGAAAGTGGACAGTTTCTCGTTATCTGGATGCTTTCGTACGCACACGCACAGATTTTGTATGTGAGTGTGTGAGCGAGCGTGTGTGCCCACGTGTGCACACGTATGTGTTGAGGTCGAAAAGTGAATGAGAAGTTACTGATTGCCTAATTTTATTCAGCAGAACGAAATTCTGGTAACTTTTGGATGACCTCTGCGAGACAAAGACAGGACAGGTCTATTGTACATCATATTGCCCTCTTCTTTGATGTCTTTTCTTTTCCTCGCCTCCTTATCTGTTCCCTCCCTTCAAGTCCCGCTCCGACTCCTCGCTCCGCATCTCTCTCGAGGTTTTATTCGTACCGGAGCCCGGCGGCCATCCCGCCCGGCGGATGGGGCGGGGGGACGAGCGGGGGGGAGGTGAGGGCTCTGCTCAGACAAAGGCTGCCCGCACCTGGGGGCAGGGAGGCGGCCGCACGCGGGGAATGGCCCCAAAACTCCGGGATCGGCCCCGGAGGGCGAACCCGGGCGCGGAGGGGTCACTCAGCTCCGCGTATATTATTTAGTTAAATTCGTGGAAATTCTGAGGCGCACACAAATCCGGTGATCGGCTCCCCGCCTCCCCATTGGCCGGGCCGGTCACATGCACGCCTAACTTTATTCAGTTGACAGCAAGTAGGAGGGCTCTATGGAAGGAGAAAAAAAGACAACACGAGAAAAATTAGTATTTTCTACCTTCCGAAATTAATGGCCATGAGTTCGTATATGGTGAACTCTAAGTATGTGGATCCCAAATTTCCTCCTTGCGAGGAATATTTGCAGAGCAGCTACCTAGGCGAACAGGGGGCCGAGTATTACGGGGCCTCGCAGGGCTCCGATTTCCAGCACCAGGGGCTCTACCCACGGTCAAACTACAGCGAGCAGCCCTTTGGCTGCGCCGGTGCCCAGGGCTCCGCCGTGCAGCCGCGGGGTCACGGACAGGAGCAGTCCGCCCCTCCGAGCCACTTCCCCGGCCAAGCCGAGCATTGTCCTCCGCCTCCAATGTCCAACTCCCGAGCCTGCGGCCAGCAGCCAGCCCTCAAAGCCCCCCACGGGTCAGCAGTTAAGCAGCCAGCAGTAGTTTATCCCTGGATGAAGAAAGTCCATGTTAACTCGGGTAAGGATCCTCTTCTTACTTTGCTCTTCTACCCCGCTCCCGCGTGTATCCTCAGGGATGCTCGCTCGAGCCCTGGCGAGGCTTTAAGGCGAGGCGGCCAATTACACTCGTCATAAATTTTTATTGCCGAGGAAATAGGCCGTCGGCGTGCGGGGCTCTTCCGCGCAGGAGCCGCGGTAGCAGCCGGCCCCGCGGAACGGCCGCGCCGGGCACCGCCGGAGCGCCGCTGGGGCCGCGTGGGAAGGCGAGGCGGAAAGTCCCCCTTCGGTCTGTAAAGTTCTCCGTGTTTCTTTCCCAGTGAACCCCAATTACAGCGGAGGGGAACCTAAGCGCTCCCGAACAGCTTACACCAGGCAGCAAGTCCTAGAACTGGAAAAAGAATTTCATTTTAACAGGTACCTGACCCGGCGCCGCCGTATCGAGATAGCGCACACTTTGTGTCTCTCTGAGCGCCAGATCAAGATCTGGTTTCAGAACAGAAGAATGAAGTGGAAAAAAGACCACAAACTGCCCAACACTAAGGGCAGGTCTTCCTCCTCCGGTTCTAACCCCCACTTACAGACTGTTCCCAAGGACCATCAGACTGACTTGACAACTTTATAGAAGAGGTGACATTTTCCATTTCATCCTTCGATTCTGACCAGTACTGTACATAAGTGACACTATCCAAGCAGAACCTGCGTGTAGCAGCCAAGGAGTCGAGAAACTGCCATCTTTCCATAAGGTACTGTGGTACAAAGGAGACTAAATGACGCTACTTCGGACTTTTATTTTATTTGCCTCTCGCTAGCACAGAAAGAAAGAAAGAAAAAAAAAAAAAAGCATCATACAGGCAGTAGGAATTGGGAAAATATTAAACGAGACCTTCTGTCCATAAAAAGTAATAAATCATTGAAAATGAAACTGTCCCGTGTTTCAGTTTTGGATTTGAAAGTGAAGGTTCGATGCTTTATTCTGGGACTTTTGCTTTTAATTGTCTTTTTATCCCAGGCAGCGAGTGCGATGCTTTGGGGGCAAGTTGAGGACAGGACATTTATGGCATAGTCCTTTTTTGAACACAAAGACTCGCGATTGTGAACTTTTTTTGTGCTGCTTTACCTTTCTTGGTGTGATGAAAATTACTCTCTCATTTCCATAATTTTCAGAAGCTGTGCATAGGAATTAAGTGAAAACGGGTTATTTTGTGTCCTGACGGTGTTAGCGTATTTATTTATTTGTAACGTAGAAGAGTGAAGATAAAAAAAAAGAAAAAAAGAAAAAAAGAAAAAAAGTCAAACCAAAAAATGGGAAAAAGGGCTGAAATGCAGCATCTCTACTTCCCAGTCTCACGAGCCCACGTATGATGTTTACTTGTCTTGAACGTACACAACTTTCTGGTCCCATCTTATGCATTTCTTCCTTTGTGGAGAAGCGTCCCTGCTCCTTACCGTGTGCCACCGGGACTAACGGGCTCGAAATCTCTTCCCAAAGTCTGCCCTGCTCGGCGCTGTACTTTTAACCAGCAATACGTCATTTAAAAGGCAAAAATAAACCACAAAGAAAACCCCGGAGTGAAAAATCAATGTGATTTCTGGGATGGATCAGAGCTCAAAGCTACATGCCTTATTTCTGGCTGGGTTTAGATTTATTTTCTGCCAACAGAGGGACGGGCTGTATGGGTTGCTGGTTCGGTTTTGTGCTTTGTTTATTGAGATTTTTTTTTTTTTTTTTAATTTTGGTCTATGTTACGTTTGTTGGGTAGGTTTGGTTCGGGTTCTTTTCACATGGGCTGTGATTGTTCTTAAGCAACCCTTGACACATGGCTGAAACTGTTGGAAATCTCAGCAAGTTATAGAGGGAAGGAGGGGAGGTTTGCACGGGAGCAGAGCTGCTCTTAAACCACGTATTTGCCTATGGCTGCAGCTCGTATCGTGCCAAAGTTGCAGTGAGCTGAGCCTGCGTTTTGAGTCCCAACCCAGCCAAACCTGCCCCTTTACACCCTGCTCGTGCGATCTAAGCTCAGCCCTTATCTCCCTTCCCCGAGGGCAGCCTGGGAGAGGGACCATCGCATGGAGATTTTAACTAGATGATCGCATTATTAAAGGGAGAAGGGAAAAGAAGGAAAGCCGGAGCAAGTGCTGAAGCTGCACTTCTGTAAAGGGAGGTTGAAACATCGGTGTAAGTTAAAGTGCTCGTGTCTGGGCTGAGTGCTTCCCACCGAGGACTCGCTGCTTCCCCAGCTCACTCGGGAAAACACTGCAAAAACGGGCATGAATAAATTCGAAAATAAAGGGCGAGCTTTTCAAAACGAGGGCATTCGGCGGGATTAACTATGGGCAGCGGTTAATTTCTGCCCTTTTCTCATCCCTAGTAGTCCGCACAGTGTCTTGTAAGACTTGCTCTTTTGTTTTAGAGCCCGGAGAAAACTCTTTGTTCCTCCTCGGGGTTAGCCCAGTTCTCAGACTTGCACATGGCAATACTTGAATATCTCCACGTCGTGATATTAAAGATGGATATTCCCGCATTATTCGCATCATTGTTTCTACGACAAAAAGCGCGGAGTTCATACATAGTAAAGACGTCTTTTTTTCTGACGCCTTCACGTTGAGAAGCTGAAAAGGTATTTTACTGAAGTTCGGCTAAATTGCAGGAACAGGTTCACCCAGAGGACAAATTTTCTATTCGATTAGTTGTATTTCAGCCGGGAAGAGTGACCTCTAAACCCTTAACCTTTTGGACCCAAACTGCTCTTCCCTTTCTCTGCCATGGAGAGCAGATCGCAGCGGCGCTTGGGGAGGGAATTCCTCAGGCAAGTTTTCAAGTTTTGTTCCATCCAATTCCTGCGTTTCGTCTCCGGAGCTGACCGAAGCCCTCCCTTCTCTCTTCATGCGAACCTAGGATAAAGGGGGAGGAAAAAAGAAGAAGAAGAAGAAGAAAAGAAAGCAAGAAATAAACAACCCTCTCTCTGGCTGCTCCCCTTGAAAATACCCCTCCCGGCCCCCCGCTGCCCTCGCTCAAAGTCTGTGACAAGTTGGCTCGGAGCGGGGAGACCGCGGTACTCGGGGGGGAGATACCAAGTTTGGCCTCTGTGGTGCCAAGCCGGAAAATAATGTCCTGGGATAAGCAGACCTCGCTTTGTGCTCCTTATCGTGAGAGATCGCTCCCCAAGTTAAAGGGCCAAATTCTGCTCCCAGCTTTCCTTCCCCCGCCCACTACAGTCAAACAAGGATGTAGCTGCGAGCAGAATTTGGCTCACTGCCTTTTGAAATGTTAATATCTCCAGGACGAGTGTTGGCTTCAGCAGGCGCGGCTCCCATAGCCCTCTGCACGTCCCTTTGAGCGAGGCCGGGGCACCGCAAGTTTACAGAGTTGTCATTGCTCTGTATTGCCCCGGGAATATGGGAGCTGGGGGCAGAAAGCACCAACGCAAATAAATGGATTCCAGCTGCCAATGCTCCGAAGGGTCAGGAATGCGGGCAATAACGACCAGGAGCACCCACTGGCCATTATTTCCCGTGGAGAAGGAACCCGAGATTTATTTTTTATGATTTTTAACCTTCTTCCAGGGTCGTTTTATGCGGGAGAGGGAACCCCTTATTTTCATCATGGATGAAACATGGTGTACCGAAGCCTTTGTTAAATGCTCGCGTTGCCCAGCAATACTCTGGTCTCTGTTAAAGTGTGATGTTTTACAGACTTTACAAATGTTTTGCTGCCGTTGATTAAAGCGTTATTTATACTAATTGTCGCCTGTAATTTTGATGTAAGCCCTCCATATACATTTTAAATAATAAAAGGTGTAGAGAAATAGATTCTGTTTTGTACCTTGTACCAGCAGTCCCTACGAGGCGGGTCCGTGCAAAGAGCCTGTCCCTCCCTTCATTACCATGCTAAGAGATGAGTGACTCCACATTGCATCCGTCCAAATGTCCCTTTGAACAGGTTTGCCGATGGCCCCGCCATCGTGGTGTGACTCCAGGCCAAGCTGGAGCCTGTATTTACATTGAGGCTGCAGTTAAAAGCGCCTGCCACCCATTTGCTGCTGCTTTGCATTTAACAAGCCCTCCTAGAACGACTGCCGGGTATGCGCGTGTGTGGTGGGAGCGGGAGCCCCACCTGAATCCACCTCTGTCCCCACACAGACGTGTGGCTCCGGGAAGCGCGACGTCAAGGTGAAAATACAGCGCAACGCCAAGCTGAAAATACAGCGCAGTGAGCGGCTTTCAGTTTCACTCGTTGGCCTGACACGAGCGAAAGATCACACAGAAACACAGGCTCGGAGAGTTTAGACTGCCCCGTGCACCCAGGGCAGACACCATTATATCCCAATCCCGCATAAGCACCTCAGCCAACGCCGCATCCCCTGGGCTGGTGCCAGGAGGGCTGCCAGGGAGGACTCGGCCCCTCGGAGCGCGGTCAGGGCACGGGGCCAAAGAGCCGCATCCCGAGTAGAGGGGCGAGAAGCACTGTGCGGCCCGCGTGCGCCCTCGGGGCAGCGGGAGCCGCGCATCCACAGCCCCGCGTTAAGCGCCGAGACCCATTCAGCGATTATACTTTCTCTCTGCTGTTTAATGGCTCCTCCTGTTACCCCGATACATCAATACGGCTCTGCGTGCTGTATGGCCGCTAGTCGTTAAGGTAAGAATGGAGAGGCGAGGCACAGTCCGTAGCACACTCCGCGCACTGTACAGTACAGTAAATAGGGACCTCTCCACGCGGAGCCGCACCGCTGCCAACGGCCATGTTGGTCGGCCCTTTCCCCTGATTTCTTCCTTCCCCCCCACCCCCTTCTTCTTCTTCTTTTTTTTTTTTTTTTTTTCCCTCTTTTTTTTCTTTTGCAAGCCCAGAGACCAAAATAATCGTGCTAGGAACAGTCATAACAGGCAGAATTTCAAAGTGCGAGGAAGATGATAAGAATAGATTTCTACAAGTCCTGACCACGTGATTCTCGAAATAATTAATTCAGCACGTCCCTTAAGAAACACGGAGTCGTCATTAATCTGCCAAGCAAAGGACTCTATCAGACTTGAAAACTGAAGAGATCCCAAGAATATAATATACAAAGGGCGCAGCCCCTCTCTCCGCACACCTAGCTCCGTGCAAGCTGCCGAAAAAAAAAACAGCCGCCCGGTACGTAAAGGTTTTTTGCTTTTATTCCTTCTTATTTCAGCCTTAATGAACTTAGCTGTCAAACCCGTGACAAATAGGGCACGCCGCTTCCTGCTCGCAGCCCGGCCGCGGCCGGCAGCCGGAGCGGGTGACCTTTGGTTCCCAGGGAGCGGGGACGCGGGGCGCGGAGCGGCGGAGGAGAGGCTGCCGGTGGGCGCGGAGAGGTGCGGAGAGGCGCTGGGCGGAACAACGCGGCTGTCAGGGCATCTGCTTCCCGCTGCCGGCGCCGCCGAGAGGCCCTCAACTTCTTTTCAAGAGGGGTCGTAAATCGTGCCGCGCCTCGTGTGACGGCGGGGGTACCGCGGGCGCGCAGGGCCGCCCCGCTCCGCCCGCAGCGCCGCTGCTGCCCGGCCGCGCTCCGTGCCGGCCCCGCGGGGAGGGAACCGCGCACCCTGCCCCGCAGCGCCTCTCGTCCCCGATCGATAGGGGAAAATTGGAGGAGGGGGGGGATGTTGTGCTGATAGGAAGGCACCCTCCGCGAACTCCGTGAAATACGGACCGCGAGGCTGAGGCTTCTCTCTTAAATCCCGGAGTCAGCTGGAAACGCTTTCTGCAAACAGGATATTCTTTATTGTCCTTGCTGGAGTAATTTCTAAAAAAAGCCGAGATTGCAGCTTTTTATTACTTCCGTTTCGGTGGCAGGACAGAGACAAAGTTTCCTATGTTATGAATTATACATTCAAACAATAACACATTAATTCAATTATTCAAAGATGACAAATGTTTATGTGCTTTGGTAGTGACTAAGGAACAGATTCGCTACTTCACCGCGAGTCCCACGTTTTTATCAATGAAGTTTTATATTATCCCGTTGGCCCGGGAAGGAAACCCAACTCCTCCAAGAGGCGCAGTAAAATGGACCCGAACATAAATCGCGGCCCCTTCGTAAGAGCGTTTATTCCCGCATATAGCCCGGGCTATTTTATCAGTTTGACAATTGCCGGAGTTGTTGTTATAAATCATCATAAGTAATTCCTGAAAGGGTGCGAGGCTGCTGGGGGGCGGGCGGAGACTGTAAATCTTTCTGTTTTATTGCTCTATGAACATATGCTCCGATTGAAGAACTCTTAGATCCTTTACTGGAGACAAATTCGCGCAAAGCCGGAGTCCCACCGGCGCGAAGGATTTACATTTCCTTAGGAGCTTTGCGGTCCCCCTGCGATGCCTTCGTTCTGGTGGCGGTGCCGAGGTGCATCCACCTCCCCGCCTGCCTCCGTGTGTAGTTTCAACGGCCCCTTTCGGAGCCTCCGAGCGGCCGCCCCACGGCTGCAGGACTTCCTCGGGGGCGCCGGACCTAGGGCCCCCGCAGCCCCGCACCGAACCCCGCAGTCTTTCGGCCCCGCACACACAGCGCGGGGTGCGGGGCTGCGGGGGCACACGAGCCGGTCTCCACGACGTGCACAGACGCCGAAATAGATGGCAGACGGAAAGGATATAAAGAACCATTACCTCTTACTCGGGGCGAGATTTAAGTGCGTCGTTTCGAAGAAATATAGGATTATAAATCCGAAGCCGTACACAATAATTTACACAGAACTTACGCTTCCATCACCGGACTCCAATCTTTTTATAACTGGTTTGCAAAGTCAGGAAAAGCAATGTAATTTAGATAAATGTTACAATGCACTTACGGTCGGTATCGTAGGGCAATACGTTACTGTCACATCCCCGTGCTTTGGATGGTAATGAAATCATAGCAGATGTTAGATTAGGGCTGGTGTATTTATAGCTACAGATACGTTAGAAAATCAAAGAGAGAACCCAATAAATGTGTGTGTGTGGTTTTTTTTTTTTTTTTTTCGCCGAGCTGAAATTGCTGGCGAGGTCTGTAGGCACACATGACGGATACATATCGGGTTCGCTCTGCTCTCAGCTTGTGCAGGGAGCGGGGAGGCAGGCTTAAGGCACAATGTCATGAGTTCTTGCTGTTTTTGTTTTTTTCCCCAAAGCTTCTGTAGCCTCCAGCCAGGGCCAGTCCCTGCCGCCCGCCTGCTCCCAGGACGGATAAGGAGAAAACAAAAATCCGCGCTCTCCATTCCGCCCGGCGCACGGCCGCCGGAGCAGCGCGGGTCTCGGCCGGTCCCAAACCTCTCCTCTCCCTCCGCCGACAATTTCTGCACCCTAGGAACATCCCGCGGAATTCGCCTTTTTCCCGGCGCTCGGGCGGGCGCGTAAGTGCGGAGCGGTGCGGAGAGGCGCGGAGCCCCGGGCCGGGAGCGGGGCGCGGGGGGGGCCCGGCTGGGAGCTGCTGTGCCTCGGCCCGGAGAGCTGCTCCAGGCATCACGTGGCAAACACGGCTGTATTGGAAGGCAGTGCCCATATTTCTGGTTATAAAGGGTTTCTCCTGCTCGTCCCCAAAATTCATCAATGGCCTCACGATTTAAAAACAAAACAAAACGAGAGGCGGCCAATTGCTGCCTTTGATTCCAGGAGGCTGATGGCTGAAGGGCCGTGTGTTGATTTTTTTTTTTTTTTAACCCCACCAAATTCCGATTTCCACTCGCTCTCTTTTATTGGTAGCTGAGCCCGTGCTTGTTCTCATTCTATCGGGAATTCTGGTGTGGAAATGTCTGTAAAACCGCAGGATCAGGTTTAGGACAGTGCTGTCTGCAGACAAAGGGGGAAGGATGTATTCTAAGAACTGCGAGAGAGCAGATCCTGAAAAGTGAGGAGCCCAGGTTATGATAAATTGGCACACAGGTAAGGAACTGCATGGTAAAACGGGACCTTTACCCACAGGGACTGCATTATCACCTTTATTCGGAGATCGCCCGGAATTTGTTTGTAATCTGCCCATAATGCGTGGAGTAACATCCATCTCCTTGGAGGCTTTAAGCTCTATCTTTTATTATGCCGCTTAAATAAAAGGCGAACTCCTTCCCAAGAGCTGAGAGAAAAGCTTCATCCTTCCCCTATCTCCATTTTTCGGTGGTTTCAGGGAGGGAATTGCAAATAACAAAGAAAAGGGGGAGAGACAACTTTGCTGGATGCTCCCGTTGCAAAGTAAGATGGAGCACCAGGATACTCATTGCCGTGGCAGGGGAGGGGGGGGCGTGCTGATTCGTAACGTGCGATCTCAAACAGGCTCGTCTGTTAATGCAGCCCCTCCGTTGGGTTTCTGAAATCTTCCTGCCAGGTGCGTTCTCATGCCTTTCTCCCCCACATTTCTGTCTCTCAGTGGCTGCAACCCCCCTTTCCTCCCAGTTGTTTCAGTCTTGCTATTACCTGGCCGCCCGCGCCCCCGGCTTCTGCCGCTGCAGCTCGCGGTGACATTTATCCTCTGGGAAGCCGTCCCGGTGCTTTCGGGCGGTGGGAGCAGCAGGACGGTGCCTGCCTGGGAGTGCCCGAGGGCTGCGGCCGCTCAGAAGCGCTGGGAACGGCCTCAGCTCCCAGCAGCCCGGCTGCCTTCCCCCACCCGGAGCCGGTTTCCCCCGGCCCCGACCCGTGGCCTGAGCGGAGCTCCCAGGCTGTGTTTGAGGGTACTCTGCGCAGAGCCCCGCATCGTATTGGGGTAGGGCTGCGTACGGACAGTGAGGAGAGGAAAGGGAAGAAAGAAGTTGTTTTTTGTTGGCTTTTGTGTGCGTGTGCGTGTGTGTGTGTATATGTGTGCGTGCGTGTGTGTGTGTGTCTTTCTGCTGCGCGTTCCTCTGCTCGATGAGAAGTTAAAGGCAGCGAACATTTTTCTTAGCTGTATGCCTCCGAGCTGCTGGCCTGCCAAGTTAGTCAGCTGAATCCAATTACTGCGAGCAGCATTTCATTTGGCTCGATGGAAGCACTCACTTACAACTTCACCTAAAATTTCAATAATACCGATATTGGGCCCACGCCTGAATAATCGTAAAGATTTCCCCTTCGGAGCTCCGGCAACTCTGCAGCGGCTGCGGGAGAGCAGCACCCGGTTCCCTCTGCTCTGCAGAGCGCTGGGGCTCTGCAGGGTGCGGGGTTGGCGGCCCCTGGCCGAGGAACGCGCATCCAGAGTGGCTTCTGAGGCTGCTTTGGAAAAGGAAGAGAAGTCGATAATTAATTAGTCACAAAATGAAAACTTACCGTGCTCATCACCAGCGGGCTCGCTGTGCGCTCTCTGCGCAGCCCCACTTACGCGCTCCTCGCGCAGGCCGCGAAGTGCTATTTCTAATGAACTCTGCTTAAAAAAATAAAGCACTTAAAGTTGACGTACGCCCACGTGCATATATTATATAAGACGTTCCCGGGACAGGCCCGGGCCAAGAACCTGAGAGAGCACCGTGTGTAATCGTGAAGCTCCACTTCCCCAACTCCGGTTTGCCAGCATAAATTAAGGTGATTCGAAGGGGTAACGCCGCATCCTACCGGGTTTGGGCTGGGATTGGGGAGACGCGGAGGAAAGTTGTAGGGTCTGTTGTGTTGTGAGCTATTGGAGGCGCTTCCGTTGGTTGTTCATTAAGGGGTGAGTTATTGCTATCCGAGCCAAAGGTCATTTCAAAGGCTTATGGCTGCGAGATATCGTCTTTATAATGACTCGGGCTTCTTTGTGGGGGATTTCTGGCACTCTGAAGTTCTTAAAGTCCCGACTCGACACCTTACACAACCAGAAGCAAAATGTATCTTTCGAGCAACAAACGTTTGAGGCGTGTTTTCAGCTTTGGGGTTTCTTCGCTTCTCTGTCTCTGTCTCGGCCGGTGGATGGGGAGCGAGGGGCAGAGGGAAGGACTCGCGGTAGTTCTGCTCTCGCGGAGCTCCCCTGAGCAGGCGGGCGCCTCGGGGAGCGGCGGGAGCCTTGGCTCGGGGCCTCTCCCCTCCCGTCCCCGTCCCTGTCCCCTCCCGGTCCCGGTCCCATCCCCGCGCTGCCCGAACCGGGCCGAGTTCACCCGTTCCCTTCTTCCTTGCCGCGGTGGAGGCGGTGGAAGTCCGAGGGTATTTCGCTTTTTTTTTTTTTTTTTTTTTTTTCTTTTTTGCTCCCCGCCTCTCTCAAAGCGTTATTAATAAATGAAGAGAAGCGTCTGCCCTTTGTCTGGTAAAAGATCTGACGTGGACTTAGAGACGCGGTGAGGGGCTGCGGACGAGACGTGCGTTTATTAACAAAGTCCTAAGGAAGAAAGTCCAAAACAAAACAGCTTCCGCTGAGAGTTCTCACTTCTGTTGCAGGTCCGCGCCCAAGGATTATCCAAAGGAACCTGAAGATCCTACACACACAGTTAAAGTCAAAATTCAAGAAAAAACAAAAGTGTGGTGAGTTCTCTAAATTTCCTTTTCCATCCGTCTCCCACTCCCCCGCCGCGGCAGCCCCTCGGTAGGAGCGAGGCTGCAGGGAACGGGCGGCCCGTGCCGCAGCCGCTGCTCCGCAGGCCAAAGCTATGGCAGCGTCGGGCAGGCCCCACCGCAAGCAGGATGGGCGAGCCGAGCCCGGCCAGGGAAGCGGGGGGCGCCCCGGGGACGGGGAGTCCGTGCCCGCTCTCTGAGACCGCAGTGCCCTGCCCGCGGTCCCACTCAGCAGGTGCCCCGGCCCGGCTCAGCACAGCCCCGACTCTGTCCGAACGGCCCCGCGCCCCGTCCCGTTCCGTCCCGCAGCCGTCCCCGGGGCTCCTGCCCGCGGGCCGGGCCGCTGCCGGCTCGGGCGCGTCCCTTATATACGGGGCTCCCTCCGGGCCGGCGGCCGGGAAATGTGCCGAGTGGGGAATTCTTTAGCCGGGCTCCCTCCTACGCGCAGGCTGCTTTGCACTTCTGAAAGTGCTGGGGCTTGGGAAGTGTTTTCCTTTTCATTCCTGGCCGGAGCGTTTACTGCCACAGCACTCGCAGTCATAAATTTTGCTACAAACCACAATGACAGGTGCATTGATATGCACCCTGAGAGCTCCGGCTGCTTTAATAACCGCTCCGCTGGCCGCTCTCACCGCCTTTTATTTATTCCGTATCATATGAGATATTGATCCTAAGCGGAATTAAGTGCGGGGGAAGTTTTAGTAGGGAACTGCTTAATATGGGAGCGCTGGCACCACGGCTCCGGCCGCGCACACGCGTGGGGTGGGCGCGCGTCCTCGCGCGGGGCTCTGCGGGCGCGCAGCGGGGGACGGGAGCCCCGAAGACGCTGGAACCGGCGTTGGGACAAAGAGCCCCATTATGGTGCACCGTGCCCGGCGGTTCAGATGAGGTTAACCTTTGTGGGTAGGAGGAAGGGAAATGCGAGGCACAGCCGTGGATACTCCGCGGCTCCCTACCCTCCGAGCCCACCTCCCACGGCTCGGCCTCGCCATTTGGATGTCACTTTTTTTCCTGGAGGCTGTTTCTGGCCGAACCAAGTGTCGGGCCCTCGCTTTGGTGTCGGCTACAAAAACATCACCCTGGGCCCTGCACTCGTGGAAAATCAAAACCTGGAAGGTCTCCCTCTTCCTCCTTCTCTCCCTCTCTCTCTTTTTAAGATCTAAAGATGAGCCACCGAACAGTTGAGCATTGTCCATGTGATTTATGGCCCATAGCCTCCTTTGTAGGTTCAAGCAGAGTTCACAAGCAGTTGGTATTTCAGAAAAGAAATAAGGCTTTTAACAGCTTAACAGCAATATTCTTTCTTAAGATTCTGCCCATCCTTTTGGGAGCTCTATTTTTCGAGGCACATGAAAGCATACACTTAAGGCAGCGCCGTGCTACCGGGAGTCCTCAGTCCTCAGCTCCCTAAAACGTAGATGCTGGAAGGGAGAAACGGGCGACGGAGTGATTTTGCACAAAAATACTTGCGAGACCCGTCAAGATCATCACAGTTTTTTAGAAATCATCTGAATTGCCACCCCTCGTTTCCTTAGATGCTCTTTCACCAACATTCTCCAGGAGAGGAAAAGGGCTCTTTCCCCATCCCTCCCGGCCCCCCGATAATCCCAGGCTTTGTTTGGGAAGAGCGGGGTGGCGGCGGGCCGGCCGGGCTGCGGTCCCCCCAGCATGGCCGTGACCGGCGTGGAATTTTAGGAAGGTTCATCGTCAGGATGGTGGTACCAATTACCAAGGGGGAAAGAGAGGTGCTATTGCGGTGCTGCGTGAGTATGGGCAGGAAAAATGATAATTATCAGACATTGCTCTAATTTTTCTAGCTACTTCTCTCTGGTGTGTTAATAGGCTCAAACCCTGTAGAAATACAACAAACTCCTAAGACACACTGAGTTACTATGCAGTCAGCCGAAGTGTCTTAGTCCTTAAAATTACTGAAAATGTTAGAGAAGAATCCAACCCAACGAGAAAAACACAGCGAAAAATTAAGAAAAATTAAGAATTAAGAAATTTTTTGCCGTAACAAAACGGTGGGATAGTTTCTGTCTTGCAATAAAAGAGCAGAAGTCCCGCGTTGCAGCAGGGGAAAAAGTGTCACCCTGTCCCAGAAGCTCCAACAGCCCTACGCGGGGGGTTCGCTCCGTGCATTTTCAGCCCGAACAGCCCGATCGGGGGGCGGGGAGAGGAGCGGGGAGAGTTCGCAGGCCCTTAAAAGAGGTCCCCAGCGTCTATAGTGAAAACCATCCCCTAAAAATAATCCTCAGTGTCTCGGGTTCTTTCTGCTGAGGACGAATGAAAGGGACGAGAAACGTCGGGTGAAGGATTTTAATTCATCACGGCATTAAAATAGGGGAGCTGACCTGCGACATCCTTTATGGTGCAAAGAGAAGTTAGTGAATGGCGTCGGTTATCCTTTAACTCCAGAGGAATCCGGGCAAGAAGGAAGGCCGGGTTTACAAAGGGGACGGGGTTTGTCTGCCTTCGCCCGGCTGCAGCGCGGCTCCATCCATCATGTCAGCCCCGCGCGGCCATGCGCACGCGTGGCGCCAGGCGGCCGTGGGGTTCCTGCCGGTGCGGGCCCGGGGGTCTCCGGAGACGGCACCCACCCGCCGCCGGGCCCCGAGCGTGGTCTGTCCCTAGAGGTCTCGAGAAAGTGACCTCTGGACCCCGTCATGTGTGCCTGCTCCTCCACAGCGCCATCGTTCCCAGGTGGCTCCTTCCCCGGTGTCCCCCGCTCCTTCCCCGACGCTCCTTACTCCACCCCCAGTGTCCCTTCTCTCTTCCCGGTGTCCCTCACGGCCCCTCGCGGCCCCGCACTGAAGCTGTCTCTTGTGTCCCCGCTGTCCCCCTCCCCAGGTGGCTCCCGCGGCGGCGAGTGGCCCGGGCCGACGACGTGAGGCGCAGGGCGGCGGTCAATGATCTTTGAGCAGGGGCCGCGGGCCTTGGCGATCGCAGAGAGCAAGATGCAGAAAACCGCCTACTACGACAACGCGGGGCTCTTCGGGGGCTACACGTACGGCAAAGCCGATGCCTACCCCTACGGCGCGGCCCAGCAGCCCTACGGTGCGGCCGGCCTGGACGGCGAGTACCCCGGCTCCGCCTGCTCCGTGCAAAGCTCCGCGCCCGGCCGCGGCCCGGCCCCCAAGGGCCCCGAGCTGGGCGGCAGCTGCATGCGAACGGCCGGGGGCGGCCCCGGGGGCAGCCAGCCCCCCGGCATCGGCGAGCAGCAGCCCCCGGCTCTGCCGCCGTCCTCCCCGCCCAATCCCTCCAGCGCGCCCCCCCCGAAAAAAGCCAAGGGGGGGCCCAACGCCTCCGGCTCGGCCTCCGCCACCCTCAGCAAGCAGATATTTCCTTGGATGAAGGAGTCCCGGCAGAACTCCAAGCAGAAAACCACCTGCCCCCCCTCAGGTAGCCTCCGCCCCGTGGCCCGATGTCCTTCCCACGGCCTTCTCCCGCATCCCAGCGCCCTCAGCCCGGCTGCAGGGGGCAGCCCGGGGAATCCCATCCCGTCTTCTCGGGCGCGGCCCCGACGGAGCCTTCACAGGCCGAGGGCCCCGAAGGAGGCGGCGAAGGAAGGGAAGGGTGCGGGGGGGGAGAGGTGTGGGCGGCCGTCCCCGGTCCCAGGCGGAGCGGGAGGGGCGGAGGGCTCCCGGGGACCCCGGGGGCTTTCGTGGGGGACCAACGGCTCTCCGTGCCTCTTCCCGCAGGAGAGAGCTGCGAGGACAAGAGCCCCCCCGGGCCGGCCTCCAAGCGGGTGCGCACCGCCTACACCAGCGCGCAGCTGGTGGAGCTGGAGAAGGAGTTCCACTTCAACCGCTACCTCTGCCGGCCGCGCCGCGTGGAGATGGCCAATCTGCTGAACCTGACCGAGCGGCAGATCAAGATCTGGTTCCAGAACCGCCGCATGAAGTACAAAAAGGACCAGAAAGCCAAAGGCATCATGCACTCCCCCGCGGGCCAGTCCCCGGAGCGCAGCCCCCCGCTGAGCGGCGCGGCCCACGCCGGCTACTCGGGGCAGCTGCCCGCCGTCGGCGGCCTGGGTTACGACGCGCCGTCGCCCACGCCGTTCGCCAAGGCGCAGCAGAGCATGTACGGGCTGGCCGCCTACACGGCGCCGCTGGGCGGCTGCCTGCCGCAGCAGAAGCGCTACGCGGGCGCGGAGTACGAGCCGCACCCCCTGCAGAGCGGCGGCGGCTTCGGCAACCCCGGCCTGCAGGGCAGTCCCGTCTACGTCGGGGGCAACTTCGTGGACTCGATGCCGGCCTCGGGACCCGTCTTCAACCTGGGCCACCTGCAGCATCCCTCCTCCGCCAGCGTGGACTACAGCTGCGCTGCGCAGATCCCCGGCGGCCACCACCACGGACCTTGCGACCCCCACCCCACCTACACGGACCTCTCCTCGCACCACGCGTCTCAGGGACGGCTGCAGGAGGCCCCCAAGCTCACGCACCTGTAGCGGCCGGGCCGGCGGCGGCGAGCGGAGCGGGCTCGCCTCTATTACCTCACTCCTCCGACGGGACGGGGCCGACGGGGCGGGTGCGTGCCCCCCGGGGCCGCCCCTTTGCTGCTCCGAGCCGCTCGGAGCACGGCAGTGCAATACGCCGCGACCCGGGGACTGGTAGCTGGTAGCGGTGTGCCCGAGGTAAGTCGTAGGGATCACGTAGAGGTAGCAGCGCATCGCGCTGAGGTGTGTTAGAGCAGCTGTGAGCGCCCAGCTTATTTCCGACAAGTTAATTTATGAATTCCTCCGTAACGTAAGGATCGCATCGGACTAAACGATACCTATTTATTATTTGAAAGCGAGACATTTTTGTATCACTGATTATTTATCCTCGTCTTAATGTATTTATGTGGCTATTGGTAGAGTTTCTTCGCCGACACTCGGGAGCACGACGCAGGGCCGCCCCGCCCGTCAGCACGCCCGGCCCGAGCCGTTGGGAGCGTAGTGGTGAGCAGTCGTAACCGTGGCTGGTGTTCGTAGTTTGTGTAAGGATTAATTAAGACAGCGAGTCGTAAGTCATTAATAGGGTGAAAGAAACCGCGGCGTCACGCAAGGAGCCGTTACACTTCACGAAGAAAGAAGAAAAGGGAATTATTTCTCGGGTATTTATTTCGCCGGGCCGGCCCCGCGGTGGGTGCAGAGCCGGCCCTGCCCGCGGAGCATCGCGCCTATTTATTGACCGGGTACAAGAGCACACCTTCTTTCGGTGGGCTGTTTACTTTTTCTATTTTTTTTTTTTTTTTAATTGCATTCTGGCTATCTGAAATAGGAAAGAAATTAGAAGCTTAGCGGAAAAAAAAAAAAAAAAAAAAAAAAAGGAAAAAAAAACCCACACCCTCTGATAGCGCTAATTTCATTAGGGTCTCCATAGCAATCCGTGCAGCAGCTGCCGCCTCCTTTGTTATTTATACTGTTGTCTTTATACTAACCATAAATCAATTTTGTAGACATCTTTGGAAGCCCGAGGTTTTCGTCTTGTTTTTTATCATTAAAAAATAAAAATAAACTTTGAAAGAAAATTGACAATCAGAAACATGCAGCCGGGTCTGGGGCTCCTGGCCAGGATGGTCCCGGCTGTCTCTGCCACGAGTGGGAAAGCGAATGCATGAGGAGAATGGGAAAAATATAAGACAGGAAGGAAAATAAAAGAAAGGAGAAAAGGGAAAGATGCTCTGAAACCTCGAGTTTCCTCCTCTTTAGTTACGCAGTTGTGTTGAACCCCTCACTGGGCTCACAGAGATACTCCTGTTTAAGGCACTGAGGTCTCCTCCCGATGGCACACATCGCCCTGAGAAGGCTGCCATATCTGTCGCTAGAAGCATCGAGTTAAAGATTAACCAAATCTTTGCATTCCTCACAAAGCTCTCTGATGCTCACTTTGCAGATTGCAAAACACTGCAGCTCCTTCTGCATCCTCTAAGACAGAACCTGGAATTCCCATTGTGAGAAACGCGTTAACTCCTCCAGTTCTGGCCAACACAGCCACATTTTCCTTTCTTTCTTCTTTTCCTTCATTCTTTCCCCTCCCCACTCTCCTCCTTACCTTCTGGTGTTGGTGTTTGGCCAGACAGCAACGGTACAAAATGTTACTTGGGGTTTTATTTTGCCCTCTGTGCGATTTGAGCGATGTTGTGCCGCGTTGAGAAGTGTATCTTTTGTTAAATTTCACTTTGACCCAAGCGGATTTGGATATATGTGTTGTAGATCTGTAAACAAACCAGAACAGAATAAACTACTTTGACTGGAGACATATTTTAACCATTCTGAGCCCTAACATTGTTTTCTATTAAAGTCCTCATACAAACTCTCTTAGAAGATCCATGCGGGAGTGACTGAAATGTACAACAATGTAGAAAGTAAGGCTGGACACTACTCATGAGAGACACTTCCGTAATGTTCTGTATATGTAGATATGTTTGTATCTCCAAACCCCTCTGTAATCGATGCACTAGGGTTGGAGAACTCCATGCAGATCCTTTTGTTTGCTCTCCACCCACAATGTGTCTCACATGCTGCACAAGGCCTGGGCAGCTCCCTTCCTGGGGGTCACTCGGGTGCAGCCCAGCACACCGCTCCCAGGTGCTTCTCACCTTCCTGTTTGCGGCTGTTTGTTGAGCAGCGGTAGCTCTGCATTACACCATCAGTTTATTCACAAAGCTGTTCCCTGCCTGGGGGAGGAAGGGCTGACTCGCACAGTGTTACCCTGCTGGCCCTGGCCTTGCTCACATTGAGCCAGGATTTGTACGCTGGGTCTCCAGCGGGGAGGAGGAGGAGGAGCGTGTGTGAGGGGGCTTGCTGTGAATAAATTCACTTTCATCTCTGTGGCTCTGGCAGAGGCATCTCGTTTGTAACACAGCAGAAGCCCACGATGATAACCTAATTATTAGAAGTAATGCTACTTTAGTGAGACCGCTGGCACTTTTACAATGTTTGTACAAGCATCAGCAATCTAGAGGAGAAAGACACTTTGGCACAGGCCATACTTATTCTTGGCCCATCGTTTAGAACTCATAAATTACAAAGGAGCTCCTTTCATGCTCAGGAGGAACTCAGTTCCTTTGCAGCAGCATCTGATGCACTGAGCCCTCGTTACCCCTTGACTCACAATTCAGTGGCCAAGGCCAGTCCTGGGGCTCACACAGCCTTGCCTTTCTCTGCAGGCAGAGCCCTGCACCCTGCTGCAGAATCCACAGCATTGAACTGGAGCTGGGAACTCTGACAGCTCCAACAGGGGGACACCAGGTGTCCCAGGCTTCAGTAAGACTGTACTCCTGATTGCATTCATGGGCTTTGCATCTCTGCTTGTTGGTCTCGTCCTAACAGCAGCCCACTCCTGAATGGCAAAATGCCACTTGTGTGGGGCTGGGCTAACAAAGCTAAATGCCTTCTGCACCATTGGCAAGATCACTGCAAACCATCAGATCCAGTCCCCCCCAAGTGGCTGCAGCATGGGACCATGCCTGAATTGGGGACCCCATCAGCACTGACCAGAGGACTCTGGCTTGCTGGGCACCAGCAGGGCAACTGGAGATCCACTGCTCCAGCAGGACTCAGCTCTGGGGTCCCTGTGCAACGCCAGCATCGTGCTAGCCCTGTGGAGCTGCCTGCAGGGAGATCTGGGCAAAGAAGGGAATTTGCTCAGGAAAAAGACAGGGAAAGGGGATGGAAGCTGCCGGGCTGCTGCTGAGAGGTGACTGGTGGCAGCTGGAAGGAGCCCAGGCTGCCATTCCATCCTGCCACGTGCCACATGGTGTGCCCAATGGGACGGCTGCCTGCGCACCCGCTTGGGCTGCCACAGCCCCGAAGGAACAAAGGCAGCGAGCAGACGGGCAGCACAAAGGGCCAGCGCTGCCAGGACAGCCGGCAGCCACGTGGCTGGTGGGGCACAGTGCGATGCTGCGGACTATGAAGGGCTACCTCTTCTGTTTCCAGAACGGAGTTCAAGCAGAATTTCTGTGGACTGAACACCCGGTGGGGCCGAGCATTGGTCCTCTCGGGGAGTGGGGCTGGCGGGGAGGAGGGGGCTGGGTCTGAGCGTTCATCAATCACAGCCCGCGCAGCTATTCACCACAGCCCTTCCTCCTCCGTCAGCTCAGTGGAACTCGAGCAAACCCATTTGGCAGTGCCTGGGCTGGGGCTGGAGTGCCCCCAGTAACAGCTCCCAGCTGACAGGATGTGACTGAGCCCCTGGGGCCCGTGTTCGCTTTCTTTATTTGCTGATGGGCAGTGTCTCTGAATGATCCATACTCATAACTTCTCCTTCCTACCAAATTCATGGCATAGGATAGCAAATGGGGAGTGACACGGCACTGGGCCTGTGGGGACATCCCTCTGCCAGGGGAGCCTTGGCAGGAGGAGAGCATTTCCTCTCGGTGCTCATGCAAAGGATCCCAGTGGTGAATGACACGCATTGGGAGAGCACAACTCCCTGCTCCAGCCTCACTGCACAGCCTGGGGTCAGCTCGGAATGGAGGGCCCATGGCACGCAGGTGTTGATGGAAGAGGAAGACGCACCTTCCTCAGGAAGTGATGCTCTGCCTGCCTGTGTGTATGATGGAACTGAGCCTGCTTGCCCACTGCAGCAGCACTGTTTCCCCTCTTTGCCCTGGGGCCTCTGTACATTCCTGTTTTTAGCCATACTCTATAAAATAAACTTCCCAGAGATTCTCTTTCTGTAGCAGCCTTCCTCTGCAGGTCCTTTGATGGCTGACCACTGTGTGTATTCCAGGTTCAGGGATGGATACACATCCCCACGTACCCCAAGTTCTTCTCAGGGATCTGCGTGTTTTTCTGTATGGATGCTCGCTCCAAGCAGCTCCAGGACCCTGTCTTGGAGGAGTGCCTTGGGCATGGGGCTGCCACTGCCTCCAGCACATGCGCTGGCAAAGGGCTGGCTGGTCCCATTGCTCCCCCAGAGGTTTGTGTCCCAGCAGTTCCCCTGGCTCACACTGTCACTGCTCTGCTGAGTTCCTGGACAGCCATATGTTCCTTTTGGCAGCCCTCATATTCTTCCCATGCTTCTATCTAACTATTTTTCTTCCTACTCCTCAAACTTGCAGAGGTTCTTATCCAACAGACCTCTCACCAAAAAACATCTGCAGTCGCTCAGCATCCCATCACCAGGGCTTTTGCTCAGAGTACTGTGAAATCTGGGACCTTAGAGAATTGCAGTTCACTCCTCAAAAGTCAATGGCAATGGGAGACACTGTGCCTGTGTTCAGCAGTGGCTTCTGCTTTCCTCATCCCTGAGCAGCTGTGCAAAAACAAACAGGTAACAAATGAGAAACTCGGTAAGAGGATCCAGATGGGTGAATGGGAAGATCATATGTTAGCATTAACACGGTCTGCCCTTGCTTTAGCATTTAGAACACAGTTTTAGGTGTAATCAGAGCAGTTGTGTTCTGCAAACAGAAGCCCTCCCCTGGAGCCAGCACTGCTTGCTTTGCTGCAGTGGGAGTTTCTGCAGCAGGGGACCCTGAAGGAGCAGATGCTTTTTTACTGGACAGCTTTCTTTGCTAAAAAGGAAGCATGGTGTTTCCAGACATCTGCTTGGTCAGAAAATGAC